GTTAGGAACTTCTAACCTGAACTGCAGAGATGTGAGATTTATTTCTTTCATGTGAGATTGATTACTTTCTTGCAAAGGAAGATAAAGGAGCATCAGACAGTATTATTTATTCAAGTACATATACAGTTGGGCACTCAACTCAGAGATGGTGCAACAGAAGAACTTTGGACTAATTTTGATTTTTCAAAGAAAATTAAAAATGAGACTTATGTGTCGTGTCTGATTAAAATTGCAACAATAATAAACTGACTCTGTTCCTTCTTATTAAAAAAACCTCTGCTATCCATTTATGCATTTCTATAAAATCAGTGTTTCATTATCTTGTACCGAAATATTTCGCCTCACGTTCTTCTCATTTTTCACTCATAAACCTAATGAAGCTCTGATTTAACATCTACAAATGTAGTAATTACAACTCTAGCAATGTAACAACCATATAAGGATGTAGCAAGGTGGAGGAGACTAGACCTCCTTCACAGGGATGTTGTTTCTCTGCCACTGGATGCAGAAATCCGGGTCATTCCCTGGATATCCCCCAATGTCATTCCAGAAGAGACCACAGCCATAGTGGCATTCCAGGAATGGGGTTGACAAAGGGTATCAGAACTGTAAAACTTTCAACATAAAAATAGTCCCTGATCAAAATCTGATATGGAGGCCTGTTCATTTCAGAGAGATAGTCCTTATGGTTCTCTGAGTAGAAGCTGTTTCTCTTTTCATTCCGTTCAAGGTTTACTACTGGGTGTGGGAAGGAGAATTGCCAGAATCACTGTGGTAATTCTGAGTTTGGAAATGTGATGTGCTGTACAGTTTATAAGATTGCTGAATTCTATTCCTCCTTGTCTCAAAATGCTTGATACACCACAGTATCAGATAAACTAAGGTAATCTAGGGTAATAATTCTCTCTACCAATATTATTCAAATCCTTCTGGTGTTAATGCAGCCAATAGACCAGTGGGTGCTAAAAGTTCTTTTCCATTTCTTTGCTTCTAAGTCTATAAATCAAGGGGATAAACATGTATCTTCCCATACAGCATATTCACCAGGCTATCGTGGTCTGGAAGATTGCTGGAGGAAGGCCTTAGGTAGGGGAATATAGTGGCTTGCGCAGAAAAGACAGACCACTGTGAGGTGGGAGGCACAGGCGGAGAAAGCCTTATGCTTCCCACCAGCAGAATGGATCCTCAGAAAGGTGGCAATAATGTCAGTATAAGAACTCAAGGTGATTAGAAAAGCCCCCACACCAAATATACCATCAATGATGAAGACAACCATCTCAGCCACCTAGGGGAAAGCACAAGATAAGGCCAAAACAGGGGGGATGCCACAGTAGTATTGGTTGATTCCATTGACATTGAAGTAAGGTAGAGTGAAAGTCAAGGTTGTGTGCAGCAATTTGTTGAGGAAGCCGGTGATCCACGTTCCTGCAGCCATGTATAAAGGCACTTCAAATTTATGTTGGGAATATGAACAAGTAGAAGGTGCATTTTATCATCTTTGGTGAATGTGTAAAAAAGCTAGAAGATTCTGGATCCAAATACATACACTGATTCAGAGGATTTTAAAGATTAATATACAGTTGAATCCAGAGGTTTTTCTTTTGGGACTGTTTGACAAACAGTTGGAAAAGAATCATGGAACTTTGTTTTTCTACATGGTAACTGCAGTGAGAGTATTACATGCACAAACATGGAAGGTTCAGCATTACCCACAGTGGAGGAACCATTGGTGAAAATAATAGAACTTGTTGAGATGGCTAAATTGACCTTTGATCAAAGAAAAAAAGTATCTGCATTTATTGCTGACTGGAAACCCCTTACACTGTTGGATGAAACAGAAAAAATGAACTTATGATTTATAATTTTGATTATTAAACAGAATAGACTAGAGAAGGAAGAGAGGTATATTGTAACCACAGAGTAAGAGGTAAACTTATAATTGTACTGATAACTGCTGTAAAGAAAATCAGAAGCTACTTCTTCGTATTTTTTTCTATTTTTTCTTTACTTTTTCTTTTCTTTTCTTGCACTCCTCTTAGATTTTTTGTCTTTCTTTTCTTTTTCCTACT